CTCTCAGCTTGTGCGTTCGCGTACGTTCCTATAGATTGGCCTTCTCCAGGGTCGCGAATCCATATGTTTTTGTGTATGTTCCTATAGGCCCGCTCCAGGCGCACAAATCCGTCTGTTCTAACGTCTGTGTCTATAGATTTGCATTCTCCAGGGGCGCGAATCCGTGTGTTTTTACGTATGTGTCTATAAATTCACCCTTTCCAGAGTATGAATCCGTATGTTTTTTTCCGGATGTTCCTATAGAATGGCCCTCTCCAGGACACGAATCAGTGTTTTTACGTATGTGTTTATAGATTGGCTCTCTCCAGGCGCCACGTGTTGTTACGTATGTTCCTATAGAGTGGCCCTCTCCAGGGGCACGAATCCATCTGTTTTTCTGTGTGCGCCGAAAGGTTGGCCATGTCCAGGGGCGCGAATCCGTTTGTGTTTCACGTACATGCTTATAGATGTGCCCTCTTCAGGGGCACGAATCCGTGTGTTTTTACGTGCGTGCCTCTCGATGTGCTCTTTCCAGGGGCGCGAATCCGTGTACTTCGACGTATGTTCACGCGTCCAGGTTGCCCAGGCAGATGTCTAGCAAGAGGAGGTGTTGAGAACGTCTCGAGCGAGACGCTTGGCTTCACGTGTCCATGTCGCCCAGGCGGAGATCTAACACGAGGATATGTTAAGGATGTCTCGAGCGAGAAGAAGCTTGTTTTCACGTGTACAAGTCACCCAGGCGGATGTCTAACATGAGGAATTGTTGAGGATGTCTCGAACGAAACGTTTGTCGCAGTAGAGTGCGTCGCAGTCCAACCCCGCCCGTCCGTGAGGCGTCCCTTGGCGCGCTGGCGCGTCCCCTGGCGCGTCCCTTGCGACGTTCTGGCGTGACGTGCCCTGGCACGCCCCCCAGCACGCCACTCGGCGTGGCATGGTCCATAGCTCGTCCTCTGTCGCATTTCCTGGCTCGTCCCCAGGCGTTTCCCCCGCCCGTTCCGTGGCGTGCCCCTTACAACGTCCCTTAGCATGCTGTCCTCTGGCCGTCCCATGGCACGCGCCTTGGCACGTCCCGTGGCAGGTCCCTGACACGTCCAGGGCACGTCCCCTGACACGTCCCTTGACACATCCCCTGGCGCATCCCCTATTGCGCCCCTGGCAGATCATGTGGCGCGTCCGTGAGCCTGTGCCCCGTGTCGTGTCGTTTTTTTTGTCGGAGCTCAGTCGGATTTTGAGGCCGAGTTTATTGAAGCTCCTCGACGTGCTCACTTCAACTAGCTCTGGGGCAGCTATGATGTGCTCAGGCAGCTCGAGCTTACGATCCCGATCAGTTCGGTCAGGACTCGAATGCTAAGGAGGGCTCGATCCACAACGCTATAGAGCACAATTGCTGCATGGTACATCGCAAGTCAGCACCGCGCAGCGCAGCACAGCCCTTGGCACGGTACATCAAGATCGATACATTCAGCATTGCAATTGCCCGTCGCCCAATCAGGTGTCTTGAAAACGTTGCCATGCTTCACATTTATGTATTCCTTTCCGGGTTCGTGGGTTGATCGTGCTTTGAACATGTTTTAGTGATTTGTCATTTCTTTTTAAAATCAGTTTGTAGGAGGACATGCCAGACCTAACGATAGGGGGATAGGCTCACGGGGGAACGCATCGACCCCCAATCGCGCATTCATCGCTGACATCGGCCCGATAGCCCGCCCAGCCCAAGAACGTGCGGACTCGCAATCGGGGGCCCATCGCCGATCCATCAGCGATGCATCGCCGATTCTCAAGGTCGATATTCCCTCCCTAGGCCAGTTTCCCCAGATCGTTGACCCTCAGAGTCGGAATCGGCCAGAGAAGTTGGCGCGCGAACGAGTGGCGCCCGAGG